GGGGGGGGGGGAGCAGGACGGGGAGCAGGAGGGCCGAGGGACCAGCAATCTCAAAGCCTGGAAAATCTCCTCTGGCAGGCGTTTGTTACTCCAGGGCTGGGGAAGCTTTCCTCTCCTTGCTCTCGGCGCCCTGGGGTCTCAGGGTTTCAGCCCGGCCTCCTGGGGGCGCCAAACTATAGAGGCCTGCAATGAGACCCGAGGCCGGGGCAGGGGACACCGCCACGCCGTCCCCGCAGAGACCTTGCCAGCCTGGCGGGGCAACGCTCCCTAACCCTTACTCCCTTTCCCCCTCCGTTCCGCATTTCCTCTTTTCAGTCCTCCTCTTTCCCGCACCCCGACGGCTTCTTTCTCCGCCTCCTTCCTTTCCTCCGGTGCGGGGCCGCGAGCCGGAGGAGCGCGGGGGTGTTCGCGGGCGGCGGCCCCGGAAGTGCGCCCCCCGCTGGCGCCGGGTCGCGAAGTCCGCCGCTTTAGTTTCCTTCCCACGGCTGCGGCTCCGAGCCTGCTCGAGAGCCAGCTGAAAGGAGGGGTCGGAGCCGCCGGGGATGTGGGGGTCCGCGCTGGAGGACCTCGGCCCCTTCAGCAGGGCGGAAAGTCCAGGCGGCCAGTGCGCGCCCAAGGAAGAGCCGCGCGCCTTTGATCACTCACCCGCCTCCCCGCCCCGGCCCAGAGCATCGAGCCCCTCTAACAGCCCCCGGGGCGAAGCTTCTGCGCGCCCCGCGCCCCGGATCTCCACTCGCAGTCCAGGCCCGCGCCGGCCGAGCTCCCCGCCGGCCTCCTCGGTCTGCGGGCGCCGCGCGAACCCGGCCTCCGCGCCCGGCGGGAGTTAGTGCAGACGGCCCGCAGCGTGCGCTCCGCGGTTTCTTTCATTTTCGGTGGTCCCTGGCCCCTCCCCGGTACTCGTCCTCCCGCTGCTCTTTCTTCTCCCCTGACTTCCTTTCCCGTCTCCGTGCCCTCTCTTTTCGTTCTCTGCACTTCCCCTCTGCTCTCCGCCCGTTGTGTCTTTCGGGTCCTTGATCCCCTCTGCTCCCCGCCCGTCCCGGCCCCTCGGCCTCCGGTCCTCTCTCGCTCTCCCCGGGCTTCCTTCCGGGCCTTCCCCGCGAGGGCGCGCCGACTCCCCGCCCATCCTCCTCGCTTCGCCCTCCCTCGGCCCCGTCTGGCGGGCTCGGTCCGGCTCCCCCGCCGCCGCGGTGATTTATTCGCCTCACCCGGCTGAATCAGGTGCTGAACCGAGCCCCGGAACGAGGGAACAGATTTTCTCCCAGGAAGGGTTTTGTGAACTAAGCGCCGCTAATTACGAGGCGGGGGCCTCGCCGGCCGCCCGCGGAGGGAGGTGCGCGGGCCCAGCGCTGCTGGCTGGGGCCGGGTCGGGGCCTCCCCGCGCCCTCGCCTGGCTCTCGCCCTTCCCTGGGAACTTTCCTGCCTGAGTTAACTATTAACCGCTGACGAGAGGCAATTTTCTTCGGAATTTCAGCGATTTCCTTTTCGCGGTGGAGGCAGATTAACATGCAAACGGGCGATGCCCAGGCCGGCGGGAGTCTTCCAGAGGCGAGGACTCCTCTGTCCCTCCAAACTGTCGTGAGCACAGCGGAAAACTACCGCCCGGGCCCCACCGCTGGTTGTGCAGGCAGGCGTGACCAAGCAGTGCCTGGCCGGTGCCCGGGTGAGGGTGGAAAAAGCCCAGCGCTCCCGGTCGGCGCGGGGTGGGGGAGCTTAACCCGGGGCAGCCGGGGACCTCGAAGCAGCTGGCGAGAACCAGGCAAGCAGTTGCTCCCTGCTGGAAGCCTTGGAGCAGGGACGCTGTGCAGGCACCGTCGAAGTCCGGGAAAGCCCTTCAGGGGCCTGCAGAGCCCCAATACCATCCCTGGCCTCTTCACTCTGCCAGTGCCTACAAGCGCACACACCCAGCTCTGGCCCGGGACCCTGCAGACTTTGTCAAACTTGACTTGCTGGGCTCAAACTCCCAGACTTGGCCTCCTTCCTTGCTCAGCCTGCTCTTTCTGGAGCAAAGAGAAGATTCGTGCCTCCAGAGTTTCCAAAAGCCAGGGCCTCACCTTGCGGAGATGTTGGCCCTTGGCCGCCTGCCAGGCGGTGGACACTGGACACAGTCCTTGCCCCAGGGTGCTGGCCCTGGGCAGTGAGGCTCCCTAGCCACGCCCTGCCCTGCAGCCCATGGAGCTCTGCTCCTCCACCTCAGTCTCTCTCTGTCCCCCACCCCAGGCCTTTTAGGGGGTCAGGTCTCTCCCGCCCACCACACTGTTTTCATTTCTGGCAGGGCTCCCTCTGCTTCAGCCCCCGCCTCCTCTCTCTCTCTCTGGTCTCTGTCTTTCTTGTTTGTTTCAGCACAAGGACACTGATTGCGCCTTATGAAGTTCTAACTGGTTTTGTGTCAGGAAGATCTTTCTCGCTGCTACCCAGCCTGGCGTGACGGATTAAACATCAACTAGTTAAATAAAAATTAATATCAACTGCCTCCTAACTTCTAATGTCATGTTGTTTATAACTAATGAACTGATTAGGGGATAAACACATCATGGAGACATTCAGCTCTCCTGCCTGGGCTCCTCTCCTCGGCAGCCGTGTCCACTCCCCAGCTGGCCTGCCTGCTGCCGGGCCAGGAGGAGGCTGGGCTGGGGACAGGGTGGGCTGCACGGCCTCAGAGCACCCTGGGGCTGGCTGCCTGTTCTGCTCTTTCTCCCTTCCTCTCTTTACTCTTTCCCTTCCTTTGTCCTCTCCTTTCTCCTCTCCTTTCCCATTTGTTCTTCATTTCTACTGCCTTTCCTTCCCCGTCTTCCTGTTCTTTGCTTCTCTTCCTCTCTCCAAAGGAGCCCAGAGTCCTCTCCCTCCCGGTCTCCCTTTTTCTCACCCACCTTCCCTCTCTCTGCCAGGTAGGCCTCTAAGGCACCTCTTCTCCCTTCCTCTGAGTCTCTACCCCTCTTCCCTCCCCTTCCTCATTTGGATCTCTCCACCCTGGCCTGTGTGGAGTAGTATTTATTACCAGTTTCCTTGTGGTGGAGTTCTGCCCTGCTAGAAAGCAGGAGGCTGTGGCCTCTCCCTCAACACTACATAAAGTCCAGAGGGACGGACACACACACACACACACACACACGCACGCACACCCTAGCTACTTAAGGGGGAGAAAGAGAGCTAGAATAAGTGGAGCTGTGTTTTCTATTTCTCCTCTATTCGACCCAGAAGAGGAGTAAAGACATAGAAGTGATTTTTTTAAACTTTCATCTTTACTCTTGTCCCAAAAGCGATGAATACAAGTTCAAGTGCTAAATTCAATTTCAGGAAAAGAAAGACTGTTCTGTGTCTTTCCTTCAGGGCTTTGGATCCCTTGCCAGCCCCATCTTGACCTGAGCAGCTTCCACAGTCCTCTTTCCCTAAAGATACTTAAACCAAATCACTATTGTCATCATGACAACAGTGCAGAAAAAAACGTGTAATCACAGGCCAGGCCTGGTGATTTTTCCCCCCTAAGAAGCCACAACATTTAAACTTGGTTTGCCCTGGACCGCGGGGTCTGACAAGACAATAACAACAGAAAAAGCTCTTAAAACCAATTTAGCACACGTGAAAATGTAAGTCTAATGAAGAATCAATAGGCTGGCGGATCATTTTTCCTGGGACTCCTTGGAGAAGCTGAGAGAGACTTTCAATCAATGGGGCAGGCAATAAGCAAGAGGGCCCAAGAGACAGTGTGGGACGGGGCTGAGGGCCAGGAGACAAAGAGGCAGAGCCCGAGGGCCAGGCTGGAGGGAGACTGAGATGCGGGTCTGGACCTTTGGATGGGGGCCCTGCTGCTTCCAGAGGAAGAGCGAAGAGCAGAGAGTGGCAGATCCACGGCTAAGATTCTCTTTCCTCCTCAGGTATGCAGCTGGCTGCTTAGCACAATGGCTTCAGCAGCCCTTCCCCTGGGCCTAGGCCTTGGCCCTGTGCTCAGGGAGCTGTGACCAGCTGGCTCACAAGTGCCCAGGGGCCCCTAAGCTGAGTGTGCTAGTGGAGTCTTCAAACGCAGTTCCTCAGTGGGTACCCCCTAGCTGTGTGTCTGGAACACTGCATCTCAGTTCCCATCTCTGCTGATGCGGAAGCAAAAGAACCTGCTGCATCAGGTTGCACAGTGGCACTGGTCCATAACCCCAGCACTGGGCGGCTGAGGCAGGAGGATTGAAAGTTTGAGCCCAGGCAATTTAGTAATTTAGTGAGAACCTGTCTCAAATTTTTTTTTTAATTTAGCCAGGCGTGGTGGCACAAACCTGTAATCCCAGCAGTCAGGAGGCTGAGGCAGGAGGATTGCCATGAGTTCAAGGCCAGCTTGGGTTACATAGTGAGTTCAAGGAGGAGGAGCTCGGGACATAGCTCAGTGTGAAGCCCTGAGTTCAAGCCCTAATGCCCCTAATGCGTGGGGGGAGATCTGAGATAAGTGTGGTTGTACTTCACATTTCATCAACCACTGTACACACATTATTTTCCAAGAAACTTGTGAGAAGGGCAAGAATCATCACCACTATTTCAGAGAAGAGGAAACCAAAGCACAAAGTGCCCTGGTGTGGAGGTGGCTCAGCAGGTCAGAGCCCTGTGTGCGCCTGGTGTGGGTCCTCAACACTGACAGTGAAAGCACAATTGTGCACAGTGCTGCAGTGGCCACAGGACAGCGGTGTGTGCTAGAGCTTCACTTATGCATATTATCCTCGGAAGAAAATGCTGCTCTGTGCATAACAAAAAGAAAAAATTCTTGCTTTAAGTTTCTATGCACTCAGGTTGGAAAATCACTGATGACAGAAAAGAAAAGCCAACAAGGTCTGATTTTTCAAATTTAAAATGTTGGTAAGATGGGGCTGGGTGTAGCTCAGTGGTAGAGGGTTTGCCTAATATTCTTGAGGTCCTAGGTTCAATTCCCAGCAGCACAGAGAGGGAAAAATAGGTGGTCAGATCATCAGTTGACCCTGACTCCTCTAAAAGAGGAGTGAAAGCTTGCTGAGGAACCCTAATACCGGACTTGTCTCTGGCCCTTGGGCCCCCCCCCCCCCCGCAGCCTTGTCATTAACTGCAGCTGCAAAACCCTTCTGGAGGACGCTCAGGGAAGTGTCCCAGGAGATGACCTCCAGCCCCTCAGGAACCTGGGCCCACCCCTTGCCTTGCAGCCTATCTTCCTGGGGCAGAGGTGCTGTGTACCTCCTCAGGAAAGCCACGCAGGCCTCTGCCCGTGGCTTGCAGCCTAGGGCCTCCCCAGCCTGTCCTGCCTCAACAGCCCCTGAGGGGAGCAAGGCTGTAAGGGTGGGAGGCCAGCGAAGCAGGCGTCAGAACAAAGTGAGCCAGGGAGGTAGGTGTGGGACATTAGCCCTTGTGAAGGCTGTGCGTGCACACACGAGTGTAAGAAGTAGGGGTACAAGCACGCACATGTGAGAAAAGTGAGGTAGGAGCGATGAGAGAATTTAGGAGCAGGGGGCAATAGGGTGACTCCAGATGGGGGGGCACGATGTGGGACAGACACCAGGGTGCTCCGGGAGGGGTGAGTCTCAGGCTCCCGGAGACCCGCGTGGGGGCAGGACGCCGCAGGAGGCAGTGTTCCAGGCCGGCACCGAGGGAGCGGAGCAGGAGGGTCAGGCCCCTTCTCCCTCTGCCCCGTCCCTCGCCATCTCTTCGTGGGACTGTCTCCTTTCACCGAGTTTTTAAAGAGAATCCAGAGCAGGAGAGTTTGTGAGGGCTACCAGGAGCAGCTCCCCAGGGACTGTTGGTGACAGGAACCTCTGTGTGTCCTGCCAAGGTCGAGAGGCATCTGTGGAGATCTTGCAGACTGAACCTGAGACCCGAAGGCATCGGCAGGCTGTGGAGCCGGACGGTGGAAAGAGAGGGTTCTCCTCGGGGAAAGGAAGTCACCGCACAAATTGGGGAGGTCGTGAGAGCAAGGACGCCCCTGCGCAGACCCTGGCGGGAGCGTGGACAGTGGAGGAGGTGTGGGGTGACAGGGTGCGCGCGCCCAGACCGGACGCGGCTTCTGGGCGCCCACAGCCAGCGAGGGTGTCAGCGAGCCTGAGGCTGGGCTGGCCCGACCTCGGCGCGCGCGGGCGGGGGCCGGGGCTCCTCCGCGGGGCGGGCGGCGCTGCTTCTACGCGGCCGGGTGTGCAGCTCGGGCGCGAGCTGAGCGCACCACCGAGGCGGCGGGCGTCCGGGTGTCGGAGCCGCCTGGTCGGGGGTGGCCGCGCGCAGCTCTCCGGGCGGCGGCGGTAGCGGAGCATGGACCGGAGAGCCGGCCGGGCAGGTAGGGGCGTGCGGCGCGGGCAGGTACCGGCGGGCGGGAGGCCGAATTCCTCCGTTTCTTTGCTGTGCGCGGTGCCCGCGGCGACCGAAGGGCTGGGCACAGGCTCTGCGCTCTCCCTGCCGCCGCCGCCGGGCCTCTGCCTTCCCTCGCGAGGCCCGCTAAATCTAATGAAAACTTTCCACCTGGAAAACCTGAGTTTTACTTCTCCTGCTCTTTTTACAGAACTTGCCTTTTCTTTTCTGTTGGGCGTTTAGGGCTTGAACTTTCCACTTCCTCTGGGGGCATAAATATTTCGTACAACTTCCTCCACATTGGGAGTGTGCACGCGCTTGCGCGTCCACGTGTGTGCCTTGTGTGCCGACTGTGAGCCCTAGGGTACGTGTGTCTGACCTGTGTGGGGAGAAGGCTCTGACCCCAACATCAAGACAGGCTCAGGCAAGGAGGCAGGGCCCCGGCCACGCGGTGGGAAGGAGAATCTGAATCTCTGCCAATGGGCTCTGCTCTTTTATTGGCGCCCCCCGCCCCACGCACTGAGCTCTGACTGCCCCATTAAGGTCCCGGCCGGCCGGCCCGCAGTGCAGAGGTGGGAAGCCAAGGACCCAAGTTTAGCTTGGGACTGGGGGGCAGGCACTGGATCAGGTTTCCAGAATTTTCCAAGTAATTGCATAGAGGTCAAGGCCTAACTCTGGGCTCTGTTGGCCTCACTCCTCACCTTCCCTAAATCTCATTTCTCTCCTCTCTACTCCTGCAGCTCAAGTTCCAGTTCTTTCAGCTGCTAGCTCAGGTCCCCGCCAGCATTGCCTTCTCTTTAATTTCTTGGCTCAGTCCCGGCCGGGGCTGTCCCCATTTCCCTCCCAGGTCTTGGGTCCACAGAGGACCTGGGCCCCAGGAGGCTTAACTCTGGCCTCCATGGCTTTTAGGGCTCTGGGCAGACCCTCGCACCAGAGGTTTAAGTGGGGAGATCAATAGCAAACAGTTGTAATGATCTAATTAATTATGGCAAAATTAAAAGCGAGTACAAAATCAATCTCTGATGGTGTTGAAGATGGAATTCAATTGAGAGCCCATCTGTGCACCCCCCCAACTGTATAAATATGCAGCCCAAGGACAGAGCTAATGGCTGAGTCTTCCTGGGAGCCTTGCTCGCCCCTCTTTCCTTTCCTCAGAAGTCTATTTGGCCTCCTGCCTCCACCCCTTTCTCTGACCCCCTTTGCTGTGGCTGCTCATACTCCCAGGTTCCTTTTTCCCTCCTGGCAGGCAGCTCCCTTTGGCTTGTACGCCTGAGGTGCTGCATGTGTGGACCGAGTCCCAGCAGCCCACCCAGCCCCCACCCTGGCGCCTCAGGAAGGGGGAGGCAGAGCGACGGGGTGCCTTCCAGGTCTTCATCCCAAGATGCTTGCTGCTTCGGAAGAGACCAGGACCCTTCCGCATACCTAGAGGTGCCAGCACAGCAGCTGGGGGACAAGCTATGTACCACACTCCCTTTCCCCTCCCTCCTTCCCCAGAGCCGGGCTCGAGCTCCTAGCAGGCTGCTGGGGCAAGGATGGTGGGAGCTTTGGGCAGTGTGAGCACAGGAAGTGACCCTCTCTCTGGGCGAGCCCAGGCCAGGCAGACCGAAGTCATCTGCCCTCCCTCCCATAGCCTCCCTTTCCCTTTCTCTGTTACCCGTCTCTCCTGCTCCTTTGCCCTGCCGTTTCCCAGTGCCACAGCTGGCCAGAGCACAGCTCCCTGGGAGCCTGTGTCCCCCGCCTGGCCCCTGCACCCTGCCCTCACTGGCCTCATCCTGCCACCTCAAACGACAGGCGGGTGAGCAAGTGTGCCTGCCGGACGCCCAGATGCAGCTGCTGCAGCGGGGTTTACAGACCATGCGGGTTTTGTTCAGTCTGTGTGAGCCCGTTGCTGAGCAATGAAAACTTACCAGCAAAGGGAGAAGGAAGGGGAGAGCGACTAGGTCAGCTGTGGTCTTCAGCTATAGCAGTCTGTACCCCAGAAACGTAAAAAGAAGGCGTTTATTTATTTACGTCTTCCTTCTCTCCCCGCGGGCCTCCCTCTCAGGGCCCTGTAACCACTCCCGGGCTCACACCGACTTCCCCGGTTTCTCTCTCTCTTCGGAAACACCTCCTTCTGCTCTTCCTCCACCAGGTCCTCAGAGTCTGGGGGAGACACAGCCTGCCGCCTCCTCGCCCTCTCTTGCCAGGCCTCCTCACCCCGTTATTAATTGCTGTGTTGACCTGCAGGATTGATTGGCGGCCCTGCTGGAAGAGACTGCAGAGGCCTTGGCCTCAGAGCAGCCTCGCAGAGGGCAGAGGGAGGAGGGGGAGGTGCTGGATCTGGCCCTGAGCTCCGGTCTCAGTCCGCCTGGAGCACAGCTGTTTGCCTGCACACCCTAGGTCACACACACATCTTACACACCCGCATAGCACTCGCACCACACCCTCACCGAGAGACACTGCCTCCAAGGAGACACATCGGGCATGCTCCCTGATGGATTCAGAGATGGAAGGGTCTTCCTCCCGCGTTAGTCAATGTGTTTAGTGCATTGTTAGCCGTAGGTCTCGACCCTCCACCGATCTAGACTTGGCAGGGCGAACTTCTGGGCCTGGACCTCCTTTCATCCGGATTTACTTGGCACCTTTTGTTTTGCAGGAACAGTTACAGACACTTAAGAGATCATTTTGATGCAGGTGACCCTTAAAGTCTCAAATCAAACACTTTTTTCTAGAAAGAGACCTTGCCCTGGCTCCCGAGGAACTCAGTTCAGGCCTTTTGTGTCAAGTGCGCGAAGTGGACATCCCTAGTCCACAGAGTGTGGCCGGCGGGGGCTTACAGACGCCAGGAGTGGGCGTCCGACACTGCAGCGCAGACCCTGCCCGTCACTTCGCCCGCCTGAACAGTCTCCTGAGCGCTCAGGCACGCGCGCGCGCGCACAGGCACACGCACACACGCACACGCGCACGCGCGCACGCGCGCGTACTTACGCGGCCTGGCTGTAGCAGCTCCTGGAAACGCCCCCTGTCCCGCCCGAGCCCCCTGGACCGCATAGCAGGGTCCCCCAGGGCGCTTCCCCGCTCCAGGCTGGGCGAGAGGAGGAGGCAGCACAGACAAGCCTCGGCTGGTGCCCAAGGGCCCTGTGCGTGGGCTCTCCCGGTCTCGCCCAGCCCCTGCTGCCCTGGGTCCCCTGTCCCCAGCTTTGGTCCTTCGTCTCTGGCCCCCTGGTGACCTGTCCCCGCCTGTGCGTCGTGGCCTTCTGACGGGTCTCCCCTGCCTTACCCGCTCCGAGCTCTGGTGCGCTGTCCGCCGCTCCTCGCATGCACAGCTGCTGGGGAGGGGGAAGGGCGGGCGCGGACGGGTCCGAGGCCGCGGATTTGGCGTCTGTCGGAACTGGGGGGACACCCGGCCTCGCCCCTCTCCACCTCCTCCTCGGCGGGCGCTGACGAGCGAGCGGCGCCGCCCCAGCCCCCCGGCCGGCCCCGCGTGCAGGCTGTGGCTGCGTGGCTCTCCCTGCTTCTCAGGCGTCTGGAGCTGGTTCCCGGCCCCACACTGCGTTCCCCTCGGCCGCCCCTCCCTCCGCAGTGGCCGTGGCGGGCAGTGCCCGGAAGCCCTGGCGGGCCGCACTGTATTCCTGGGCCACGGCCGTCAGGCCTCGGCCTGGCTGAGCAGAGGGTTAATCATTTCTTCCCCTCCGACCCTCAGCCCCACCCTGCTCTCTCTGGGCCTGGAGAGGCGGGCGCAGACTTCGGCGCAGCCCAAACCAGCTTCTTGGGGCCTCGCAGTGACGAGCTCCCAGTCCCCTCTGCGCGGTTCACGTCCCGCTTCCTCCCCTCCTCACTGCTCTCTGCCGCCCCTCTGGAGCGGCTCTCCCCACCGCCTCATCCTCGAGCTGGCTTGGGAAGTTGACCGTACGTCCTGGACCAACTCATTATTTGGGACTGGACGGGACAGGATTTCCTTCCCCAAGTCTCTGCCACTGGACCAGCTCCTCCCAGGGTTTTGCAGACTGGCTGGAGGGCCGCGCCTGAGGCCGCAGTTAACCTGGCTGGGGGTGGGGGTAACTGATCCTGCAGCCCGCTGAGCCGGTCGGGAGGAGGGCAGGAAATGGGCCTGCGGAGCAGCCTGAGAGATGGAGCGGAGAGGAACCCACATAGGGTGAGGTATGGTTGGACTGAACGGGAAACGTCTTAAAGGGAGGAACTCGGGAAGGTGCTGGGCCTCCAGTATGGCCTTGGATGAAGAACAACACACCTGCCCTGGCCTCCCCAAGCACTCAGTTCCCTCCCTTCCCTTCTGGAAGGCCAAGGACTCAAATGCCAGCCGTAGACAAGACAGATATAATGATCCCCATTGTACAGGTGAGAAAATTGAGGCCTAAAGAAGCAAAGGAGCTATGAAGGCAGTGGCCACTCCTCCTTCCTGTGGCCTGGGGGATGAATGGCCCCTTGAGCTGTGCAGAAGTCCGTGGGAGTCTGGTGAAGGGGGGCAGGCTGTGTCCAGGTCTGATGGAGGAGCACCAGGGCCTCTCTCATGCCGGCCTCCCCCTCTGGTCTACCCTGAGAGCCTGCCAGACCTATTTCTCTTGGCTTGCTTGTTTCTTCAATCCCTAGTCCAGCAGCCCACAGTCAGCAGCCACCTGGCTGACCTGTGCCACAAAGCAGCCCCTTTGGTGGCCAAGTGTCGTGCATTGTCTTAGCCCCTCAGAGGGGCCAGGAAGAGCTGGGCAGGTTGCAAGGACCTCTTGTGCTTTAGGGAGGAGGGGCCAAAGAGGATAAAGGCCCAGCACTACGCTGGCGCTGGCAGAGCTGGAGCAGCAGACCCAGTGACTGGGGCGGCGGGAGTCAGGTCCCCTGGGCTTCACGCGGGGTGCCCAAATATTGGGAACAAAAGCCAGAAAAGAAGAGAGCAGGAGGGAGGGAGGGAGGGAGGGAGGGAGCAAGGGAGATGGGTGAGGAAGCAGAAATTAGGGGGTCTTAGATAAAAAAACAGAAAGTAGCTTTAGGGGGAATGTGCTGTGGAGTGTGAAATTGCAGCCCGTGGAGCTCCATATTGTACCAGAAGCTCTTCCAAAAAAAAAGAAAGGAAAAAAAGCCATCCTCCAACATGACCAGAGGCTAGGCAGGGGGAGGGGTGGTGCAGAGCCGGGGGAGGAGGGGCGGGTCGATGGCCCAGGGACTGGGCACGAGGGGGTTCGCTCCGGGATACACCTGGACCGCAGGGAGAGTGGGCTGCGGGGTCCGCCCTGGAGCTGGAGCTGTCTGAGGAACTTTGGGCACTTCAGAGACTGGGAATAATGCAGCTACGGAGACGGGCTCTGAAGCAGCTGCTCAGCTCTACCCTAGTCTCTTCCCTCTGTCCCTGCTTCTTTTCCTCGGGACTAGCTTTTCCCCCCTTGATTCTAAACAGCTCCCCCACTTTAATGGGTTTAATTTGGTCTGCACTGTGGGGAGCATTTCCTGGGGAGATACATTTACTTTCAGAATTTCTAATCCCCTTTCTCAGAGCCAGCCCTGCTCTCCTCGATACTCCTGGGAGGTGGCAGGTGGAAGGCGGGCCCAGGCCACAGGAAGGGGAGCCCGGCTGGGGTGCTCCACAAGCCCGGGCAGCCCAGCCACCTTTCCAAACCACTAGAGCCAGCACGCCTGGGCCGGGATCAGAGCCCTGCGGGCCCGAGGGGAGGCGGCCACATCTCTGCCTTTCCCAGCTGGAGCAGAAAGTGCTGGGCCAGTGAGTGGCAAAAGGGAAAATGAGCAAGAGTGGCGGGAGGAGTAGGCAGAAGCCAGGCTGAAGATGGTGCACACAGCCCTTCGCTGCAGTCCGCCCAGAAATGCGTGGAGACCTGGAACTGGGAGTCACACCTGCCATTACACTTGAGAGAACCCCCACTTACACCTACACCCAGGCATAACAGGCACGCACAGCCGGCGGAGGGGGGGGGCCTTCAGGCGCCAGGCGAGCTGGCAGGGAAGGCGAAGGAGCCGAGATCCACAGGAAGATTTATTGGGCAGATCAGATGCACAGAGGCGGCTAATGAAGCAAATCCCGAGATGGGTATCAGAGCAACTCCCCAAAAGTTTATTTGCCTTTAAATTTCCGCAGGGAGGCGGGAACCTTGTTTGAAGTGTAAATGCCCCTAGGTTGGAGGGTGGAAGGGCCGCTTTGAAAACGCCAGAGAGAAAAGGTTCATTTAGAGGCAGACGGAAAAGCAACCAACCCTGACAGGTCGGAGCCGGGGTTGTGTTTGGGGTTGGGTTGTTTTCTTTTTTCTCTTTCTTTTCCTCTTCTTTCTTCCTTTTTTTCTTGCCTCCCCCCCCCTTTTTGCTAAACTCTATAGAAGAAGAAAAGGAAGAACAGGAAAGGGGGAGTCAGAGGGACATGCCAGTGAGTGCAGAGAAACCTGCAGGCCAGCCCTTCCTCCTGGAGTCCTGGGAAAAGGCAGAGCTTGGCTAACAGGGCTTCCAAATTACCAGGGAGTACTGCTCCTCCACTCCACAGACCAGGAAGGGCTGGCCCTGCAGGAGGGTTGAGTGAGTGTCCCTCCCCGCGCCCTGGGGGTGACTCACTCTGGAACTGGACTATCACAGAAGAGTCTCACTGCTGAGTAGTATGTACGACACTAGGTGTGTAAGCACAACTTGCAGCACACGTGTGCACTAGTCAGTCCCCTCTTTTACAAAATGTGAAAAAGCTCTCTGGCTCGATATGTGAACATGCCTGTTGTCCAAGCACACATGCCGTAGTAGGTGTAATGTAGGGATGTATCTGTCGAGTTCTAGGAAAACCTGAATGTATGTGTGAAGAGGGAGATTCTACTCAGGCTGTTCTTCCAATAGCTCAGACTTAATTTGCAGGATCACCAACATGTGGAGACTTGGGACAGGGCTTCCTCCTCCTTTAGTTGTGAGCTCCCTTCAGATAAGGACCCTTCTTCCATGCCCCTACTTGAGATTCTGCGTTAATTACCTTCCCGAAGAAAGCCCAAGGCTGCGCCAGCTGAAACCACCTGAAAGTCCCACCGTCTTTAGCTGTTCCCGTTAGGCTGCAGAACTCTTCCTCTTTGGCTCCCCGCATGAAGTTAGTGCGTGTTCGTGGGGGCTGCGAGGGCAAAGCAAACCCGGGAGCGCCACCTGCAGGCCTTGAGAGGAAGCGACTGACCTTCCGCAGCACCCAGCACCTCCAACCTCCCGCCCAGGGGAATCTGCTCGACACCCAGGGGAAGCGGAGGCGAGCGCGCGAGGGGCGCAGGTGGGGAGTTGTTTTGTGTTCTTCCTAGAAGTTACTTTACGGGCGGCTCAGGCGGGTCGGGCTCAGGACGATCCCGGAGGGAGAGCGAATGCTCTGAACTCAGTGGACCCGGCCTCCTAAGCAGTGAGACGCTCAGAAACCTGGGGGCTGAGCCCGGCCGGGACCTATCCAGGAGGAAGGGTGCCCGAGAACGGCTCGGGACGCCCGGCGAGCGTCAGGCCGCACCTGGCAGAGCCAGGCAGGTGTGTCCCACCCTGGGTGCTGCTAGGCTTCGGCCGGGTCCGGAGCATAAGTCCGAGGCCTTCACCCCGCGTTGCCAGGACTGCTGACCGGGCCGAGGAAGCCCAGCGCGGGCTTCGCCCAGCCGCCCTTTCGCAGACCCAGGGAAGGGGGAGGGAGTGAAGGAGGGAGAGAGAGAGTTAAAACATCAGCTGAAGTGCCAAGATGATTTATGAGACGAGGGAAAATATTTCATAAAGATCTCCCGGATATTCTGTACTTAACCAGTTAGGAGACAAAGGGCTTCTCCTGCCGCGCGAGGGCTGCGGAGGCCGGGCTGGCGGCTCCGCCAGCAGCCAGCAGTGGGGCCAGGCCGGCGTGGCGTGCGGCGCTCGGCGGCTCTTCTTCCCAGCCGGGAAGCGGCCTCGGTGTCCCGCATCCTCTGCTCGCGCCGCCCCGCTCCCTCCCGCTCCAGAGGGTCCCGGAGCCGAGTCCCCGGGTGGGCGGGCGCGCGCTCCGCCGTCGGTCGGGCCCCGCCGAAGCAGGTGGGTCCGCGCTGGGGTCTCGGCCCGGGTCTGGGGCAGGCGCTCCGGACGCCCGGACCGGGTGGGCGCGGGCCAGGGCGCGCAGGACGGGAGCGGAGGGGAAGACCTGCCGGGCGTTTTGCCCCGGTGGCCGGGAGCGCGTGGACGGAAGGCAGGAGGAGGAAGCCGAAAAGGGAGCAGCGGAGAGCGGGAAAGGGCGAGCCTGGAGCAGTGGGGCTCGGCGCCGGGCAGGCAGGACGCGGGGCGCAGACCGGGCCGGTCCTCCGCGCCGCCGGATAGTCATCAGCCCGGCCGCCCTTCATCCTCATCCGACGCTCATCTCCTCGGCGAGTTTCGCCGCTCGGCGCAGTTTCCACCCCGGCCCGGCCTCCGCCCGCCGCGCCCCCCCGCCCCGCGCCCCCGCGCCCCGAGTGACAGGCGCGGGCCTCCTCGCCGCGGCCGGGCGCTGGCGAATCACAGAGTGGTGGAATCTATTGCCTTTGTCTGACAAGTCATCCATCTCCGGCGCGGGGAGGGGGTCTGGAGGCTCTGCAGCTTTTAGAGAGGCTCGCGCCGGGAGCCGCGGCTGCAGTCTCCGGCCGAGGCTCCTCGCAGCCGCAGCCCACCTGGGGCCCGCCGCGCTGCCCTTCCCGGCGGGGTCGGCCGGGCCGCCGCTGCCCAACTTCGCCAACTCGCCGCGCTCCCCCCGGCGCCCGCTCCGACCGACGCCTCGGAGGACGGGGTCTGGGGGCGCCGAGCGGGACGCCGCCTTGGCCATGCGCCCCCGGTGCCGGCCCTGCTGACCGCCCGCCCGCGCCCCGAAGGTGGGAGGTGGCAGCAGCAGCCGGGCGCCCGCTCACCCGCCTCCCACCGTCCCTCCCTTTTCTCCTCAAGTCCTGAAGTTGAGTTTGCGAGGCGACACGGCGGCGGCGGCCGCGCTGCTCCCGCTCCTCTGCCTCCCCATGGACATGCACTGCAAGGCCGACCCCTTCTCCGCGATGCACCGTGAGTACCGCGCCCGGCCCCCGGCCCTCTCCGCCCGGCTCAGGCCCGGTGCGGTCCGCCCCCGCCCCGCGCGGGGTCCGTCCCGGAGGCCACGCCGGCTTCCCCCGCCCCTCTCCTCTGCCTCTTCCCCCGCCTGGCGATCCGAAGCCTTCAGCCTCTGTCCCTCCCGCCTTCGGTCACCCTGGCCCATCGCTGTCTGCCTTGCTATCTGCCTGTGCCGGTCGCCTACCTCGCTCCGAGCACTGCTGCTTCTCGGTCTCGGGTCCGCAGCTCGCCGGGCCCGCCGCCCAGCCCTAGCCGGCCTTTGCCCGGCTGGAGGATGCGTGTTTGGCACACAGTGCTCCGGGTGTTCTGTGGCGCTCCTCTCCTCTCCTCTCCTCCCTCCCCACATCTCAGCTTTCTCAAACTTAGAGTTGTGGGTGTCCAAGAGGAGACTCCCAGGCTGGGCACCCTCAGGCTGAGGACAGCTGGCGGGCGGGCTGCCCCTCGGAGCCTGAGCTCTCGGCGTCTCCGCCTTCCATCCCGGTCAGGGCTTCTCGAGGGCTGCTTTGAAACGTTTCCCCCTCCCCTGCCTCCCCTTCCCTTCCCTTGAGTTGAGGCTCCGGGGTTGGCAGGATGTAGCGGTCCTCTTTCCCTGCCTCTGCCCTGAGAGGTGCTCTACAAACAGAGGGGTTCTGAGGAGAAATGAAGTCGGGCAGGCGGCGAGCAGAGCAGCCCCAGGCCGCCCGGGCAGAGGCAGCTGTGCGCTCGCCCCAGCCCCATCCGGCAGGCTCCCCGCCACCTCCCGTGCCCGCAGAGGACTGGGGAGCCAGCCCCTGGCCAGGTCAGCAAGGAGCAGAAAAATGAGGGGGAAGAACAAAAGAAACGCAAACGCCAACACTAGGGAGCAAGGGAAGATCAAAGCAAGGGGAAAGAAATCAAAGAAAGGGAATGGAAAGGGTTTTACAGAAAAAAGAGAAGGGCAGAGAGGAAACAGGAAAAGGAATTATTTTAATTCAATTTGAATTTGTCTCATTCATGTTAGTTAATTCTTAAGCTTGAAAAACTATTTGTGAGATTTTCAGCAGGTGCTTTAAAAGAAGACAAATGGGATTCTAAGCAGAAATCCCTTTCTCTCTGTAAATTAATAAGGGGGCCGGGGATTCAGCTCAGTGGTTCCGCCGCCTGCCTCGCAAGCACAAGGACCCGAGTTCGATCCCCAGCACCAAACCAAAAAAAAAAAGAAAGGAAAAGAAAAAAGAGAAACAAATAATTAAGGATTATTTTGTAACTTTTCTCAAGGAAACTTTTTAGACCTGGCTTGGATCTGTGCTTAAAACCAGAGCGCAGGGAGGGAGAAGCTGTGTATTTGTCCACATCTAGCTTTTCGGGGGCCTTTAAAAACTACCACGAGCGTGTTTCCGTAGATAAGGTCCAAGCGCAGGAAGCCCAAGCCGGCCGGGGCCTCGGGCCGCCGCGAACCTCGCGGGAAGCCTCGCTCCCTTCGGAGGGAGCGGAACCGGTGCGCGCGCCGTCCTCGCTCAGTCGCCTGCCTCGCGGCCCGGTACCGGCTCCCGCGTTCCCGCGACTGTGCCTGGGCCGCCGAAGGCAGGCGCCCGCGGGAGCCGCTGCGAAAGCCGAGGGGAGCGAGGCCGGCGGCAGCGAGGCCCTGGACCCCGGCCCCCGCGCATCCCCACCCCCTAGGTTGGGGCCGAAGGGCTGGGCCCGAGCCCGGGGAGGCTGAATTATTCATCTTCAATCTGCCCGCAGCTGCCGCCTTTTCGTCCCGGTAAAGCGAGTTCTCCCGGGCCTGAATTATTGATGGTCGAGGTTAGGACGCAGGGGAGCGGGCGGAGGGGCCACCGCGGGGAGCCGGTGGGGTAAAGCAGGTCCCGGCTCCCGCGGCAGCTCGGAGCCGCTGCCCTGGTCCCCGCTCGCTCCGGTCCCTCAGAAGGGGCCGGAGACGCCGAGGGAGCGCGGTGTCCCGCTTTCTCCGAACCCTGGGGCTGCAGGTCGCGCCTGACTCGGCGCCTGGCCTGCGCTTGCACCGCTTTGAGGCTGCGGAGGCGGCCCGGCCTCGGGAAGCAGGCTTCCCAGGCTGCTGCAGGCCGGGGAGAACAGGGCCCCGGGCCGCGGCTCGGGCCTGGCACCCGGCGCCGCCTCCGCTCCGAGGTCGGGAGCCCGGCGGGCACGGAGAGGAACCGGCGCTCCCCGTGCGGGCAGCAGCGCCCTGGTGCTCGGTTTTCCGGGCGCCTGGAGAGACTCGAACTGCCGCGGGCCGGCTGCACAGGTCGCTTCCCGGGCCGGGCCGGGAGGCTGGGCCGGGACCTGGGCGGGCCGCGAACCGGGCCGTCGCGGCGGCGAACGGAGCAGCCCGCGCTCTTTTCGGCTGCAGCGGGAGCCGCCTGGGTCTCCGCCTGGGTCTCTGGGAGCGGGGGCGCGGAGCAGATCCTGGCTCGCTTTTCAGCTTTTCCCTCCCCACCGGGCCTTTCCCCCACTTTAGACCCTGGGGAGGCGAGAGGGAAACGTGGGTCCCGAATATCTAACGATAGGAAAGGTCAAGGAAAGAAAAACTCCTGATCAAACCAAATCGAAGAAACAAAACACGGGGACAGAGGCAGTGCGATAATGCCTGGAAATAAACACAAAGGATGAGGTGTGGAGCTAGAGTGTGTGTGACAGCCCCACAGCGCTGGGGCTGGGCTGAGCAGTCAGGTGGCCAGGACCCCAAAGCCGTGAGGCTCCCAGCCTGGCACCCCAGCCCGCCCTGGCGGCAGTCAGCCCGCACCGTCCCCACCCCAGCTCTCTCTCCTCTCCCCTGCGTTCAGTCCACTAGCACTGAGTCCCCCTGGCTGTTTTCTCCCGCTCCCTTCTTTTCTCCCCAGACCTCTCCACCAGTCCCTCACTTTCTCCCACATGTTCGAAGGGTCTCGCTGTCGTTCTTTCCCATCCCTCCGCCCTCACCTGTGCCTGAGTCTCTACCTGGCGGGTTCCAAACCCTGACCTTCCAGCACTGATCTATCTGCCTGCCACCATTTCCGCCAGTCCCTGCCTGCTCCCTTGCACGGGCTTCCGACCCTGACTAATGGCCGGTCCCTGCTGTGTGTGGGGCGCTGTCTTTTTCTTGTCTCTCCCCAGCAGGGCACGGGGGTGTGAACCAGCTCGGGGGGGTGTTTGTGAATGGCCGGCCCCTGCCTGACGTGGTGAGGCAGCGCATCGTGGAGCTGGCCCACCAGGGTGTGCGGCCCTGCGACATCTCCAGGCAGCTGCGGGTCAGCCACGGCTGTGTCAGCAAAATCCTGGGCAGGTGAGGGCTGGAGCCATGGGGAGACACCCCGTCTCCTTCCCCAGCTGAGGACTTGGCTAGAAGTTGAGGTTCTGGGTGGGAGAGAGAGAGAGGTTTCCCAGCACCAGGGATCCAGACAGCTCCTGCATTTGGGAAGGGCACTCACTTGAGGAGCAGGGTCCCCCAGTGCCTGCCCTGCTCCAGGGCCCTTGAGGGGAGGCAGCCCCATTCCTGGCGTCAGAAGGGAAAGGACTCTCTGTCAGCAAGTTAATGTGGTAGTGGTCAGAGGAGTGGGTGGGTGGGGTGTGAAAGCAGACCCCACCAGAAGAAGAAGCCGGCTGGGCAGGCAGAAGGAGGGGCCTGGTTCCCGCAGGGGACCCCTGCATGCAGTAAGAAAGGGCCAGAGGTGATGTTTCAGTCCCAGGTTTTCACTCCAGGGGCTCATGCTCTGAAGACAGGTGTGCGCCCAGCCCCTGGTGTGACTGTCTCTCACGGCATCCTCCTTGACATCCCTCATTTTCACCAAGCTCTCTCTGGAAGTCTGCTGGGCCACACTGGGCCTTTCCCCTCCATGTTGCTGCTTCAGGCAGAGGGCGGGAGAGTGGCTCAGCGGCTTTGCAGCCTGCAGCCCCCCCACCCAACGCCTGCCACCTGCTTCCTGCTGACCCCGCGGCTCCCCGGCACAGGTACTATGAGACTGGCAGCATCAAGCCTGGAGTGATCGGTGGCTCGAAGCCCAAAGTGGCAACGCCCAAAGTGGTGGACAAGATTGCTGAATACAAGCGGCAGAACCCAACCATGTTCGCCTGGGAGATCCGTGACCGGCTCCTGGCTGAGGGCATCTGCGACAATGACACAGTGCCCAGCGTCTCTTCCATCAACAGGTGAGCAAGCTCCCTGGGCCTGGTCAGCAGGACTCAGCTCCTGGCTCCTGCGTCCTGGAGGTCTCCCCAGGCGTAGGCTCTGGCCTTCTTCCAGCTCCCAGTCTGACGTGCTTTGGCAGGGAGAGGGCACCTATAAGGCAGAGAGAGAGACGGACAGACAGGACTGTCTGCAGTTCAGAGCTGGGTATTCCCTGCCAGGCTTCGCCCCGCTGGCGTCCTGGAAATGAATCCAAATGTTTGTGGTAATTAAGACTCCAAGAGTACGAACCACAGCCCGTAGTGAAGCCTTTAAAATGACCAGTGTCTATCCATCACCTCCAAACAGACTTCCCTTTCTAAAGGTGTGTGCCTGTCCCCGGGGCCAGCCTCTGGTCCTGGCTCCCTTGCCACTCCCACGAAGCTTGCCTCCCAGGAGCCCAGGTCTCGCTAGCCAGCTCCAAACAAATTTCCGGTCTGGAAGCACTGGCATCCAGGCCTCTGGAGCAAATGCCAAACACCAGCCAGCAATTGGCAGGGAGCAGAGGAGTGGGCAAGGAGAGGGGTGCCAGGCAGGGAGGGAGAACTGAGCCTGGGCATGAGTGGTGCGGGCTGCTCCCACACACCTCAGGTGCCGGTGGAGAATGCAGGCTTTTTGAGGGTGACACGTTCAAGCATGTGGGGTGACACCGGCCAGAGTCAGCTGGACATATAGACAGGTCCCCAGAGGACTCCATCATGCCCTCTGGAACCCATGGTCACCTCCGTGCACGTGCACCCTGACAGTGTGCCAACACGCTTCTCTGGGGTGGCTACAGAGCACACAAGCAAAAGGCAAACTCAGAATTCAGGCTGGCTTCATAATTGCAGAACTGTGTAACCTGAGAGTTGCGCACAGACGCCTGTCAGAGCCAGGCCCCCACTTTAAAGTACCCTAAGCAAGAAAAGGACTACGTTTATACCATTATGTTTTGCACTCTTCACGGCTTCTTATAATCAGGACAACCAATAATTCAGACGGTACTTTTTTCTGAAATCGGCATCACCTATCACGGGTTTTTTTAAAAAAGTATTTTGCAAATGATATGGAATTATCCCAAATCATCCTGAAAACAGCAGGTGAGATTAGCTGGTAGAATGGACCTTGGCTAAAGAAGATTCCCTCTGCCACACTTGTGCTGTAACGTACTGTGAGGCGACCCCAGAAATTATCCCAGTGTGTGCCATCTGTATTAAAATGGTTATTCAGTTATGAAGAGGGTAACATAATACTGATCAGCTAATTATACACCCTCCAAACCCCTCCAGCTCCCTGGGTCTGGCTCAGCCACCTATTGAAAACATGTCAGTTTGACATTCAGACACCTTCCCAAGGAGCTGGAGAAACATTCTGGTTTGGGAGAGGAGTAAGTGCTTTGTATTTAAAAGAGAGGAGGCTGGGGCAGGCACGGCAGTTAGGAAGGGAAAGGGAAGGAGAGCCTTGCTTCCTGAACCATTGAGGACCGTGCCTCTCGCCTGGCTGCTGGTCCTGGCCGGGAACTAGATTGAGGTCATGTGAGGGGAGCGTCTGGGGCCAAGAGGGGCTTGGCTGAGGAGCAGTGTGCCGAACTGGGTGGTGCTGTTTGGCAGAGCACTCGAGATGGGACTTGGCAGCCCTGGAAGGCACCAAGCCATTCGTAAGTCCAGACGACTTGTTCTGAGTGGAGTGCAGAGGGGAGCGCAAAGCCAGTGCAGGGCCCTGCCTAGCAACCTCCATTCTCTTTCCCCAAGACCCCCTCAAGGACGGAGAGGTTTGGGGAAGCTGGCCTAGGCACAAGTTTGGGGATATGCAATCCAGAAAGGCCAGGAGAGCAGGACTCGGTAGCCCTGGGATCAAGCTCCAGAGGTCTTGAGTTGCACACACCCCCCCACACACACCGAGCTGGGGGGAAGCAGCCAAGTGGGCTGCCCAGAAGATGAGCAGGGGGAAGAGCAGCCTGGTGACACCGGTAGCTGCAGAATCTCCCTGCGCGCACAGAGGCCTCCCTGGGACGTGGAGAAGTCGCCGTCTGTGGGCAGGCGCTGCTGCCTTTGGAGAGGACCCTGGGCCTGTGGTTAGGCTTCAGGGCTTGGTCAGCAAGGCACAGTTGTGCTGTTCTCAATTTCACTTTGGGTCATTTTTGGAAAAACTTTGGGGAGCTTCTCAGAGGGCTACTGGGATGCCTCTGGCACCCCATCCTTAGTGTCCTTGCTGTGGGTGCTCTGTTCTGAAAGGAATGGTTTATCTGGGATGCATTGCTTCACCTTCACGCCCATCTAAGGGGCATAGCCTGTTATGTCAAGAATTTGGCTCTCCCTCAGTTTTGAAAATTCTCCTAGAGATTTTCCCCTATGCAGAAAGTGTGCTGCATCGGGAAACAGGGAGTCCTAAGTGCTGAGCTTTACGGTTCTGGTTCTTGAGGTGTTGGGTCCCTCCTGACAGTGAGGAGTCTTGGTGGCAGGAGCCTGCACTGGCAAGAGAGGAAGTCCACACGCGTCACCCACCTGAGCCAAAGGTTTTTCATCCTCCCCTCCTCAAAACAGATGCTGTCGCGCACTTGAAATATGCTGTTATGGCTATAAACTAAATTGCTTTTCATGCTTTAAAATGGTTTTGGCACTCTCTGATCCTGTCGAGATAAAGGCTTGGCCAACCAAACTGCATTCTCATTAGCAAATCCTCCTACCGGTAGAACTGCCTCTCTTGGCCAAAGGAGCAGGTCAGGAAGCCTCTCCACACCCAGAGTCTATGTCCGGAATCCCAAGAACTGACTGTGTTGCTTAGCACGTGGAATTTATCTGAATCCTTCTAAATATTGGGTTGCTGATCTTGGAGTTTAGAGTTGCTGGTTCTTCAGCTTGTGCACTGGTGCAGGTGGCGGGCAGGTGTTTATAAACAGGTGTCTCCAGATTGAACTTGGTGTGGGAATGGCCAGGGGAGGGGGGATTCGTGCTGCCAAAAGGGGGACAAGTCTCCTAGTGAAGTGGCTGAGAAACTGACTATGCAGGAAGGCTTTTCCTGAGTATGTGCAGGATCTTTCGGAGTCCTTTGAGAAGGGAGCACAAACTCCTGAAAAGTCTAGGGTTACCGAAGACCCCCCAAGGATGCCCGGGGATGAGCTGATGGTATAAGCATCACCTTCGGACTTTTGAGCCCACCCTATGCTGCCTGTCCTCGGATCTCTGGAAGGGACCCTTCCAGGGCCTGCTGCTCACTGATCACCATCCACCGATCCTCTCCCTTAGCCTGCAAAGTTCCAGGTGGCCACATTCCTTCTCCTAACTGGGGAGACACTGACTTTAAGAAGGTGGCAGCCGCGGCACTGGGTTAAAGAATTCCTGCCTGTGTCACCCGGTGCACCCGTGTCTTCCTCTGGCCTTTGTCAGAGGTCTGGCAGCGGGGTCGTGGTGCTCTGCCGGTCAGGTAATTGCCTTTCCGGTGGGCGGAGAGCCTGCAGCCCAGCCGTGGGGATGCTGAGGTGTGTTCTGCACTGGGGTCTCTTTCTTTCCTCTGAATCTCCAGTTTAGAATGTTGCCTGGGTTGACTCTTGGACCTGCTTGGCATGAGGCTGGAATGGTTTGCCTGCCGCGTCTCTGCACCCCGGAAGCTGCTTGGTCTCAGGGCAGCCAGGGCAGGCTGATGGTGAAGCAAGTGACTCTGCCCACGGGAGAGGCCGAAGGACAGAGTGTGTTCCTGCAGACGCTGGGCTGAGCAGACATGGCCCACGAACAGCAGTTTCTTCTCAGCTGTTTCTGCCCAGTCCCTTGCACGTCCTTCCCCAGGCAGAGCCTCCCTCTCCTGGGGCCACCCGTCGTGGCAGGAGGCACACTGTTGGTCTTCCTTTTTCCCATGAGCTGGATAGCCGTCCTGAAAAGTCTATTTCTGTTTCCTCAGTTGGTTGCACTGGTCTGTCTCCCTGGTGGCTGGCTCACAAGTGTCCAGACCACACAAAGGCCTGCAGGTGAGGGCAGTTGGCTGGAGGCCCTGAGTTCTTGTCTAAGCTGGTGGCTCTTAAGAAGAGGCAGACAGGAGGGGCTGTTCCTAACCAGAACTCCAGGTGGATTTTTGAGGGTCCTGCAAAGAAGAAAAGAGAGGGGGAAACCCTAAAATAAATAGTGTCCCAACTGTTCAGAGAACTCAATAAAACAATCACATTAAATATGAAGAGGTATAAATCTTGTGTCTGCACAGGTAACCTACTCAATTGCTTTTATTATTGCTGAAGCTGCCTCCATTTATTTCCGTCCATGGCCGGGGCAAAGGAGGCTGCATGGAGGGTGGTCTCCAGTGCAATCCTATACCCCAAGAAGCAACAATCAGCCCATACAGCCAGGGATTTTGATGGGAGCCGGGAAGGGCCCATCTGTCTGCATGAAAACCAATCAATAACTCTGTAACCAGAGCCCTTGTCACTGGGAAATGGACAACACAACAGTTCAATAGAGGGCCACAAGGGGAATTGGCCAAGTGGGGATGGGGCCAGGCAGGAGTGGCCCCTGGAGAAGGGAAACAGGGGGCTGAGGGAGACTGGGGTGCCTGTGGCCAGGGCAGAGTCCAGTGGCTTCCAACGCTGATCAGCACAGGTGCAGGGCGGTTGTGCAAAGCAGACCCAGGGAGTAAGAGGCAACACTGGACGTTTGAGCGGTAGGAACAAGTGTTTGGGGGAGCATTAGGGGAATGGTGTGGTGCTTGTGGGATGATGTGATGGGATGTGCTGGGGGGCTGGACTACTACAGTGTGAAGACAGAGCAGTAATAGTAGTAACTAATGCAGAAGATCAACCCCCCCAAAAGCTGAAGAGGGGGCTCCCTCTGAGCCCACATGTACTGAGGCTCATGCCTCCTAGTCTTCTCAGCAGGACTGACAAAGGAACTCCTTAGTTGAGGGGCCCATGGCCTGCTCCCAGCTCTAGCTGCAGCTTTGCCTGTAAGTGCTCGGGTCTATCCCCAGTGCCCCCTTATGGCTACCTGGGGTTGCAGTTCTTACACTAAAAGGAAAAAGTATG